GGCGAGTGACCCCGCTCGGGCCTGTGCCCCACGGCTCGCTGAACAACGCTCGGACCTCTGGACGCGGCCCCCACCCGCGGCCCCCTGACCTCTGGACACGGCCACCGTGCGGACCCCGCTGTGGGTGGATGGACAGACGGACCTCAGGCCCCGGGGTGTCCCTCTGGCCTGGCCCCCCCCGTTCTGGAGGGTCCCCGGGTGCCATCGGCCCCCCAGGAATAAAGGCTGGGGGGGTTTGTACTGCCCGTGTCGGCTCTGCCTGGGGGCTTGGGGAGCACAAGAGGGGCAAGCGAGGGCGAGGGCTGGGGTGACCACTTTATTGAGGGAGGGACGGGCCCGCGGGTGGCTCGGGATGGGCTCGGGCCGGGCTCAAGGCTCGGGGCCGGGCTCAGCGGCGGCGGCCGAAGCGCTGCGGGGTCGCCATGGTCCAGAACGGGGCCACCGGGGGGTCCCAGCTGCGGGGGCTGAGCCGGGCCTGGGGCCTCCCCTGCGGCCCCCACCCCGACCTGCCGGGGGGACACGGCACCGTGGATCCCCACCGGGGCCAGTGGGGACAGACAGATGGACAGGGATGGATGGACGGACAGGGATGGATGGGAATGGGCTGAAGGACACGGACACTTAATGGGGACCCCCATCCCCACACCACTGACCCTTCCCAGGCACCCCCAAACCACCCCTGTCCCTCCCCACCTCCTGCGCCTCCCCGCTGTCCCCAAAGCCCCGACCCCATCCCTCCATGCCCCCCCAGACCGGGACCCCCCAGACCGGGACCCCGTCCCCGCTCACCTCTGCGGCTGCAGGGGGGTCCCGGGGGCGCGCCCGGGGCGCTGCAGGGACCGGAGCAGCGCTCCCAGGGCGGCGGCGGCGGCCCCGGGGGGCGGCCCCGGGGGGGCGGCGAAGGCGGCCTGAGGTGGGGGAGGACCGGGGGTCAGGGTGGTCCTGGAACCGGAGTGCGACCCCCGACCCCGAGCGTTCCCCCCCTCCACAAACCGAACCCCGCTCCGGGGGCGCGGCCGGGCCGGCGCTCACCGGGGCCGGGCCGGGGGTCCCGGGACAGGCGCGGGCGGAGCGCGGGGTCCCCGCCAGCAGCAGCAGCATCAGGAGCAGCTCCGGGCACCGCGACATCGCCCCCGCCATCGCCACTCGCCACCGCCGCCGCCTCTTATAGCGGGGCCGGGCTGGGCCGGGGGTCCCGGGGGAGCGGGCCCGGCCCCGCCGCCGTTAATTAAAGCCATTTAGCAGCCGCGACAGTCGCCCCCGGGGACGGACGGACGGATGGACGGACCAGGAAGCTCCGCAGTGCCCGCCCCGCCCGGGCCCCGCAACCGGCACCGCCGGGGCTGCGGAGCGAGACCCCCGGGACCCCCGTCCCGCACCGGGACTTCAGGAAGCCGGGACCCCCAAGACCGGGACTCCCCCACACCCCCAGCCAGCCCAGGAGCCCCCGAGACCGGGACCCCTCCCTTGTCTCCCCCCGGGACCCCTCCCCTGTTCCCCCCAGGATTTTTTTTTGTCCTCCCCGGACCCCCCCCACCCCGGCTCTGCAGCGCTTGTCTCGCTGTCGCCACCCGGTGGCCGCTCCGCGCTCCTGCAGCCCCGACGGCTCGGCCGCGGCTGCGCCGACCCCAAATCAGCCGAAATCGCCCCAAAAAACGCGCCCGGGGATGCCCCGGGCCACTGCGGCGTCCTCACAAGCAGCTCCCCGCTGTGCCACCCGGGAGAGGGGACAGTGCCACCCACACCGTGAACCCCCGGGGACAAAGTGGGGGTGTCCCCAGCCCACCCCCCCCCAAAGCAAAGGGCGGCAGCTCGCGGCTCCTGGGTAATATTTTAATGTTATATTTGCAGCATAAATAAAAGGCACGTTACATGTTTGGTATGACACGGCCGAGGGCTGGGGGGAGGCTGGGACGTGTCCCCCGGGTCCCCCCGCGGCCCCGGGCCCCCGCGGGGGCTGTGAGGACCCGCTCACAGGAGCCCGGGCGGGGCTGGGGGTCCCTCGGGGGCGCGGGGCTCGGGTCAGACCCGCGGCGGCCGATCTACGATACATGGGTGCGTATAGGCGTCGATATGGACTGATAAGATACTACACAGGTACTCGGGGGGGCCTTTTTTGGCTTTTTCCATTATTGATCGTCAAAGCTCGTGGCGCAAAGCAGCTGGGGGGGCGGGGGGCACGCCCAGGACCCTCCTCCCGTGTCCCTTTGGCACCTCCCGGGCTCGTTCTGGGGTCCCCGTGTGAGCAGGAACGGGTCCACGAGTCCCAAAATGACCCAATTCCCACCTGAGCCAGGAATTCCGGACTAAAGACGGGTCTGGGGGCAAACAGGCACCAACTCTTCCCACCCGCCCAATCCTGAGGGATCTGGAGGCTGAAAAGGGAGGAAGAGGAGGGAAGGAGCAGGAGCTCCTCTGTCGTGGGCTCTCGTTTGCAGCCGTTTGTTCCTCTTCAAGGTCACAGTTTGATAAAATCCATAAACCCCAAATCCCAGCAGCTGATCCCGCTCTCCGTGCTCCCCCAGCCCCGCAGAGCTCCTGGGGCAGATCCTGGCGATGCAGACCCGGCAGGGACGGGATGGAGGAGGGAAAGGAGGAAGGGACAGAGCAGGGGACAGAGCAGGGGACAGGAGCAAGGCTCGGGATCCCCCGGGATTCCCGGAGCAAAGTGCAGGCGCCCGGCGCTGCCGAGCGGGGCCGGGGCTGCCACCCCCGAGAGCCTCGGAAAAGCGGCAGGAATCACCACGGAGCAGGAATTGGGTTGGTTTTTGTTTTTTGTTTTTTTTTTCCCAGATCTGGTCACAAAGCGAGGAGCGGCTGCTCTTGGGGTAAAACACACCTGGGAAGGGCACGGGGAGCTCCCACCTGTGAGAGAAGCGAGAACAGACCCAGGGACAGCCCAGCCTGGATCCAGCTCCATTCCCTGCTTGGCCCTGACCGTGCCTGGAGCTCTCCCACCGTCTTGTTCTGGATTTGCAGAGTTTTCAAGGCACTGGCGTTGGGGAAGGTGGGAACGGGGAGTTCTGGGGCATGCAGGGAGGGGAGAGAGGGGAGGAAGCGGCTCCTGCAGCCGCATCCGAGGGGACCACGAGGATCCCCGGGGAGAGCAGCGAGGCTGGACCCGAGCACGGGGAGGAGCCGGGATGAGCCAGAGGGAAAAGGGGAGCGGGGGAGCAGCAGCACAAACCCACCCCGATCCCGATCCCAACCCTGATCCCGATCCTGATCCCATCTGAGGAAGAGCTGCAAAAGAAGGAGGGGGAGAATCCATATCCCATCCCTGGAAAAACCCCAAATCCCAGAACTTTCCCATCCTGCTCAGCCTTTGCTTTGGGTTTTGCTGTCCCTGGGAACCTTCCACGTGTGGGGAAACCAAACAAAATCACCTGGACAAACCAAGCTGGCTCCAAAGTGGCGAAGTGCGACCTGAGGGGGGGCTTGGCTGAGGAGGGACCTGTGAGGGGCAGGAATTCCAAGGGCTGGAGCAGTTCCGTGGACCGGGACAAGATTCCTTCCAAATCCCAAAAACACTTCGGCAACTCTTCCCACATCCCACGCCCCGGCTCCGGCTGTGGCCCCTGGGGAGGCGCCGGTGGCCACACACGGACACAGAGAGCCCAGGGCAGGAAAAGGGACCTGGTTCCAGGAGCTCCTCACGATTCCAGGAGCTCCTCAGGATTCCAGGAGATCCTCAGGATTCCAGAGCTCCTCACATGGAGGACGGGCCCAGGGAGCTGGAAGCGAATCCTTTGTGGGACCAAACCCTGACCCCATTCCCAGCTCCCTCCCCTCGGAACAGGCAACGAGTCCCAATTTAAGGCCACCATTGTTGAGGTCCTGGAGGTCCGTGAGCGGGAGGTGATCTCGGGGAGTGCAGGATGGGTTTGCCAGGATGGGTTTGCCCGGGCCGGGTTTGCCTGGGCTGGGTTTGCCTGGGCCAGGTTTGCCAGGATGGGTTTGCCTGGGCCGGGTTTGCCCGGGCTGGGTTTGCCAGGATGGGTTTGCCAGGATGGGTTTGCCAGGATGGGTTTGCCCGGGCTGGGTTTGCCCGGGCCGGGTTTGCCAGGCTGGGTTTGCCCGGGCCGGGTTTGCCAGGCTGGGTTTGCCCGGGCCGGGTTTGCCTGGGCCGGGTTTGCCTGGATGGGTTTGCCAGGCCGGGTTTGCCTGGGCTGGGTTTGCCTGGGCTGGTGCCAGTTTAGGGCCTGACGCTGTCACTGCCAGCTGGGCCCTTCCCTGTGGCCTTTCCCGGTCCTGGCCCATTCCTGGAGCCCCAATCCCGTCGGGAACGGGGGAGCAGCCCTGGCCAGGCCGTGCCTTCCCCAGCACCTGGCCTGGAGCAGCCCCTGAACACCTGGGACACCTCTGTCCCCCAGTCTGTCCCCCAGCCCCACGCTGTCCCCTCGTCCCCGGGGCACAAACCCAGAGCAGGCCCCACCTCCATCGTGTCCAAAATCCATCACGGGGACGGGGGAGGGAGGAGACCCCGACCCTGCGAGCCCCGGGAGCCTCTGGTGAAGGTGCAACAGCTCAGGGGTGGGAGCAGCACGGGGGTCACAGGGGACAGCACGGAGTGTCACAGCCCAGGGGACAGCGACAGGGTGGTGGCAGCTCCCCACGCAGGGCTTTAGTGTTGACCACAGAGCCTGCCCGGCCCAGGGGCTCTGGGGAGCTCCAGGGGCTGCGAGAGCGCCAGAGCTGCCCTTAAAACAAAAACAAACAGAAAAAAAATAATAAAACCAAAAAAAGAGGAAGGAGAAATCCTGGCAGGCCCCTGGCGGTCAGCCCAGGGCTGTGGTCAGTCCTGGGGCCGTGGTCAGCCCAGGGCTGTGGTCAGTCCCGGGGCCATGGTCAGCCCAGAGCTGTGGTCAGTCCCGGGGCTCTCCTCTGGCCCAGGGCTGTGGTCAGTCTGGAGCTGTGGCCAGCAGGGGCTGTGGCCAGCCCAGGGCTGTGGCCAGCAGGGGCCATGGTCAGTCTGGAGCTGTGGCCAGCCCAGGGCTGTGGTCAGTCTGGAGCTGTGCTCAGTCCCGGGGCTCTCCTCCGGCCCGGGGCCATCATCTGCCAGCAGACTGTGACTGTGGGGCCATGATGACGTGCGAGGCCACGGGCACGGCCAGCTCTGTCCTTTGCCCGGCCATCTGGGCCAGCACCGAGGTGGCCACGGCCTCGGCGGCCGAGCGAGCCGCGCTGAGCCCGTTGGGGGCCGAGCTGTGCTGGATGACGGCGGCGGGGGAGCCCGTGGGCTCCGAGCTCTCCTTGGGGCTCTCTGCTCGGGGAGAGGAGAGGACACGGTCAGGGAGGGGGACAGGGAGGGGGACAGGGATGGGAACGATGGCTTGGGGCGGGAATGGTGCTGGCCCCAGCGGGAATGCTGCTGGCCCACAGCAGGGTCAGGGACTCTCACCCGTCCAGCCTGGAGCCCCCGCCCAAGGGAACCCGGATCCCTGGCCCCCCTCAGACCCCTCCCATCCAGCAGGACTAATTAGGAGCTGGGAGATAATGAACCTGCCGCTGGGGACTGCTGCCCCCTCCACTCGGGATGGAACCCTCTGGAATCCCAGGCAGGAAGCAGCACAGCTTCCCGAGGAGGGCAGCACCGGCACAACCTTCACCGCCCTCCATCCCCAGACCTTCCTCTCCGCGTTAAAAGGAATTCACGGATTAACTCAGCAGCCCCCGCCCCACCTGCCAGGGGGATCAGGATCCCCAGAGCTGGGCTTTGGGGGGCGTTTTTCACCTCCATCACCTGCTCTGCTCTCCATTACTCCCCGAATTGCCGGCATCAATCGCAGCCTTTGCCTGCTCTGCTTTTCGGGGATTTGAGGCAGCACGAGGGGCAAACAAAGGCAGAGCCCCCTCGCCTTTGTTCAGTGGCTCCCAGAGTCTGGGATCTGCTTGCCCAGGGGATCACCTGGGAGCCCCCGGTGCCCCCCGAGGGGCCCAGAGCTCTCTGTGCCCACAGGGGAAATTCCACCGGGATATTTCCTCCACATAAAACCCCAAATACTGGGAAAAATCAGATCTGGGGCTGAACACCTCGCTGGGCTCTGTTTTCCTTCCGCCTTTCCCTGGAAAAGCCTTGGCCAGGGAATATCGTCCCCTGGCACCCCCAGCCCAGATTTACTGCAGACAAACCCCAGACAAACCCCAGAGCAGCTGCAATTCCACCGGGGCCCTGGGGCTTTGTTCCAGGACCTGCCTGGCCACAAATCTCGGCCATAAAAAGGCCCAGAGGGGAGGGAGGGAATCTCATTTCCAGCCTCTGAACGTGTGATGAATTCCTGCTGCTGTGGGGAGAGGAATGGCGAGAGGGGTTGAGAACCTCGGGGCGAGCAGGGAAAACCTGGGGGCTGCCACCCCTGTGCAGGGCTTGGGGCCCTGGGGACAGCCAGGGGCTGCTCAGGCAGGGGGGGGCAGTGGCCGTGCCAGCCCCTCCCAGGCACGACAGAGCTCCAGAGACCCAGGGCTGGCACCAAGCCACAAACCCCCACTGAATTTTCATTTTTTTAGATTTTTTTTTCCTTTTTTTCTCCCCTCGGTTTTTGCGGTTTCCAGTTCCATTCTCTCAGCTCATCCATCTCATCTCTGCTCTCATTTTTCCAAGGAACACTAGAGGACTCCAGCGTCCTCCCAAAGCCTCTCAGCAGCCTGGAATTGCATTGCAGGGAGGGCAGCAGGACCCAGATCGTGTTTAGCTCCCGGCTTGGTTATAATGAAATAGGCAGCATTAAAAAAAAAAATGAAGGGGAGAAAAGGAGATAAAAAAGAGCTTTTTTTTTTTTTTTTTTTTTTTTTTTTACTTCCAAGCCGAGCCAGCTCGATGGGAATTGCAGGGAATGAGCAATGGAGCTCCATGATGTCATTGAGGGAGTCTGGCCTCTCTGACTCTGCTGTGCAGCAGCAAATTCTGGGATTTCAAAGGGATTGTCAAGGGCTTGGCTGGCTGCCGGGAGCGGGGAGAGGAGGATCCACATCCAACACCCCCCTGGACAGGCAGAGGGACAAAACCCTGCCCTGGGCACTGCCCCCCCTGCAAGGTCCAGCCCGGAGGGTCAAGGGACAATTTGGGGGATCGTCCTGAGCAGCAGAGGGGTGGAAACGCCCTCGGGGGTTTTTGGGGTCCCTGCCAGCCCAGCCCTGTGCTCTGTCCCTGTGTGTGACAGCCCTGCCCTGCAGAGGGGACACGCAGGTGACACGGAGGTGACGCGGAGGTGGCAGGGTACGATCCCCTCCCTCCCCTGGCAGCAGCCCCACAGCAGGCTCCAGGAGCCCCAGACTCACCCAGGTAGCCCTGAGTCTTCTTCTGCAGGGCCGTGACGGGACAGTCCTTGTGGGCCAGCAGCAGCTGCTTCAGCTGAGCCACCTCGTTCCTGAGCAGCGTCACCTCGTTCTGGGGGACACAGACACAGCACCTGAAACGCTCTGGGGACTCCCAGCTCTGGGATCGGCACTCCCAGCACTCCCAGCACTCCCAGTACTCCCAGCTCTGGGATCAGCACTCCCAGCACTCCCAGTACTCCCAGCTCTGGGATCGGCACTCCCAGTACTCCCAGTACTCTGATTCAAGGTGGCCCTGGCTCAGCTGAGGGCCGTGTCCGGCCGTGCCGTGTCCAGCACGGTTCTGTTCTGTGCCGTGTCCAGCACGGTTCTGTTTGTGCCGTGTCCAGCACGGTTCTGTTTGTGCCGTGTCCAGCACGGTTCTGTTCTGTGCCGTGTCCAGCACGGTTTTATTCTGTGCCGTGTCCAGCACGGTTCTGTTTGTGCCGTGTCCAGCACGGTTCTGTTTGTGCCGTGTCCAGCACGGTTCTGTTCTGTGCCGTGTCCGGCACCGTTCCGTGTCCGGCCGGGCCGTGCCCGGTGCCGGGGCCCGTGCCCAGCCCCGGTGTCACACTCACGGTCAGCTGGATGTTCTGGCTCGTCAGCTCCTCGGCTTTTTTCTCCAGGGAGGACACCCAGAGCTTGCGTTTCTGGCGGCAGCGCGAGGCGGCCGCGCGGTTCCGCTCCAGGAATCGCTGCCGCCGCTCGTCCGGGTCCTCGTCCGCCGCCCGCTTGCGGCGCCCGCCCGTGCTGGGCGTGGGCTGGGCAGGGGACACCTGGCCGGGACAGGACAGGGGACAGGGGACGGCTCAGCCACCACCGGGCACCGGCGCTGCAGCAAACCTCGGGTTTTGAGCGGGATTTTTGCTTTAAAAATTCATTTTCCCCTCCAAACCCCCGGCCTTGGAGGGAAGGTTTTGTAGGGCCTGGTTTTATTGAGGAGAACAAAGGGAAAGCAGCGGGGGCAGGCGGGGGAGCAGCCCCGGCCCCACAGGCCGTGAGGGGCGAGCCCAGCCCCAGGCCGGGGCTGCAGCCCCACTCCAGCCCTCGCGGCCGGGCAGCAGATGGAGATTAAAGTGCTGGAGGCCACCCGAGCCCGGAGCAGGTGGCCACACGGATGGAGGCTGGCACTGGGCTGCTGGCAGGAGCCAGCCCAGCTGATTGCCTGAGAGGGGAGCGTTTAACCCCCTAAGTGAGGGGGAGGAGGAAAATGCTGCCCCCGAACTGCAGAGCTCCTCAGGCAGGTGAACACTGCGAGTGCCCCAGAGCTGCAGCAGCACCGCAAAAACAAGCGTTTGACCCGCTCTGCAACGAGGGGAGGAAGATCTGGGGAGGTTTTCTCCTCCTTGCCAAGCCCTGGGAGCCCCAGAGCGCCCAGGCCAGCACAGAGCAGCAGCAGCAGCCCCAGCAGCAGCCCCAGCAGCCCCAGGAGCCCCAGAGCAGCCCCAGGAGCCCCAGAGCAGCCCCAGAGCAGCCCCAGGAGCCCCAGGGCAGCCCCAGGAGCCCCAGCACAGCCCCAGCAGAGCCCCAGGGCACCCCCAGGGCAGCCCCAGGAGCCCCAGGAGCCCCGGGGCAGCACTGACCTGTGGCTGGGCAGGGGAGGGCGTGTCGGGGTGCTGGCCCAGGCTCTGGCTCTGCTCTGGCCGTGCGGTCACCATGGTGCTGGCCGAGCCCACGGCCAGCCCGCTGCCGTTCAGCGAGGAGGATGCTGCCAGGCTGGCCTTCAGCCTCTGCCAGGGAACAAAAGGGACATCAGAGCAGCTGCCAGGGCCCTCAGCAGCTCCTGCCACCCTGCAGCCACCCTGCAGCCACCCCGCTGGCACCGGGCACTGTGCCTGACCCAGTCAAAGCCAGCCCCAGCTGGGCTGCCCCAAGGGACAGCAGTGTCCACCCCAGGGGCAGTGTCCACCCTAGGGGCAGTGTCCACCCTAGGGGCAGTGTCCACCCCAGTCCAGCAGTGTCCACCCTAGGGGCAGTGTCCAGCCCAGGGGCAGTGTCCACCCCAGCCCAGCAGTGTCCAGCCCAGGGGCAGTGTCCAGCCCAGCCCAGGGGCAGTGTCCAGCCCAGGGGCAGTGTCCAGCCCAGCCCAGGGGCAGTGCCCAGCCCGGGCCTGGCCAGGCCGAGGAGCCCTGGCCCCACTCACCATTTTGGCCTCGGAGTGCACTGGCAGTCCCGAGGGGGAGATGGAGCCGCTGCTGTTGATGGGGGGCCCGGGAATGCCAGGGATGTTGGGCACCATGGGCACGGGCCGGGCCAGCTGCCAGGGGAGCAGGGCACAGCGTTGGGAGGGGGAGCAGCTCTGCAGGGCGGGTCTGTCAATGCTGACACATGCTCCAACTCCTGCTGGCACCCGGGGCCAAAGACCAAGACCCCTTCCCTTCCCTTCCCTTCCCTTCCCTTCCCTTCCCTTCCCTTCCCTTCCCTTCCCTTCCCTTCCCTTCCCTTCCCTCCCCTCCCCTCCCCTCCCTTCCCTTCCAGCAAAGGCACCAAATCCCCTCTGGTTTCATCCCCTCTGGTTTTATCCCCTCTGGTTTCATCCCCTCTGGTTTCATCCCCTCTGGTTTTATCCCCTCTTGAGCTTTCTCCCTCAAAGAAAAGGGAGGGAAAACCAGAATTTGGGGAATTTGGAAATGTTTTTAACCCCCCTCAGACAGCAAAGCCCCACAGACAGCTGTCTGTGTGTGTGGGGCTGTGCAGAAGGCCAGTGTGGGGCTGGCAGGTGACAGTGGCCACAGTGGCCATCACGGCCAGCCCGTTCCAAACGGCAGCAGCTCCTCGGGATCCTGGCAGCTCCTGCCATCTGCCCGGGCACGGATTTGGATTTTTCCAAACCCACCGGCCCCCGGTGCGAGTGCTGCCCTGCCAGAGCTGCCCCTCCTCTCCTGCTGCTCGGGGCAGGGCTGGGGGTGCATTTCTGGAAGGTTCTCTCACCGAGATGACAGAAGGCATCTGCACGGGGGGCCCGGGCAGCACGGGCACGGTCTGGCCGTTGGCGAGCTGCACCACGAGCGGGAGGGAGCCGGAGGGAGACCTGCAGGAAAACCAGCCCGACAGCAAAACAACCCTGCATCAGCCTGCTGGGCCGAACCCGGGCCGAACCGGGCCGAACCGGGCCGAACCCGGGCCGAACCCGGGCCGAACCTGGGCTAAACCTGCACCTCCCGAGGGCTCAGAGCAATCCCTGCAGGAAAACCAGCCCGACAGCAAAACAACCCTGCATCAGCCTGCTGGGCCGAACCCGGGCCGAACCCGGGCCGAACCCGGGCCGAACCCGGGCCAAACCTGCGCCTCCCGAGGGCTCAGGGTCATCCCTGTTAGCTCCTGAGGCAGGGCCAACAGGAGCAGTGCCAGGGCCAACAGGAGCAGTGCCAGGGCTAGCAGCCCCCGAGGGAGGGCCAGCAGCTCAGGGTTGTCCCAAACAATCCCTGAGCTATTCCAGCTCCTGAGACAATTTTCAAACCATCCCAGCCCCAGACAGGGCTGCCCTGCCAGGCTCTGTGCCCTCCCCACGGCGAGTTCTGCCTCGTTTCCTCCCTCCAGGACAATCCGCGATCAGCTCCTGCTTCCTGCTGCAGACCGAGCCTGAGCGGCAGCAGCGGCTCCTCTGCTTCTGGAATTC